TCAATGAGAGACATATGCAAAAATTCAGTTTTTTTTCTGGTGAAGCTATCAACTTCAAATTTACAGGAAATATAGCTCAAAGTGGCTGTTATTGACTGGAACAAACTGTAAGTGAATATCGACATTGAAACTGAAGTTATGAATTTTTTTGGAAAATGAAACATAGAATTTACAATGAGAGGCATATGCAAAAATTCAGTTTTTTTTCTGGTGAAACTATCGACTTCAAATTTACAGGAAATATAGCTCAAAGTGTCTGTTATTGACTGGAACAAACTGTAAGTGAATATCGACATTGAAACTGAAGTTATGAATTTTTTTGGAAAATGAAACATAGAATTTTCAATGAGAGACATATGCAAAAATTCAGTTTTTTTTTTTCTGGTGAAACTATCGACTTCAAATTTACAGGAAATATAGCTCAAAGTGTCTGTTATTGACTGGAACAAACTGTAAGTGAATATTGACATTGAAACTGAAGTTATGAATTTTTTTGGAAAATGAAACATAGAATTTACAATGAGAGGCATATGCAAAAATTCAGTTTTTTTTCTGGTGAAACTATCGACTTCAAATTTACAGGAAATATAGCTCAAAGTGTCTGTTATTGACTGGAACAAACTGTAAGTGAATATTGACATTGAAACTGAAGTTATGAATTTTTTTGGAAAATGAAACATAGAATTTACAATGAGAGGCATATGCAAAAATTCAGTTTTTTTTCTGGTGAAACTATCGACTTCAAATTTACAGGAAATATAGCTCAAAGTGTCTGTTATTGACTGGAACAAACTGTAAGTGAATATTGACATTGAAACTGAAGTTATGAATTTTTTTGGAAAATGAAACATAGAATTTACAATGAGAGGCATATGCAAAAATTCAGTTTTTTTTCTGGTGAAACTATCAACTTCAAATTTACAGGAAATATAGCTCAAAGTGTCTGTTATTGACTGGAACAAACTTTAAGTCAATATCGACATTGAAACTGAAGTTATGAATTTTTTTGGAAGATAAAACATAGAATTTTCAATGAGAGACATATGCAAAAATTCAGTTTTTTTTCTGGTGAAGCTATCAACTTCAAATTTACAGGAAATATAGCTCAAAGTGGCTGTTATTGACTGGAACAAACTTTAAGTCAATATCGACATTGAAACTGAAGTTATGAATTTTTTTGGAAGATAAAACATAGAATTTTCAATGAGAGACATATGCAAAAATTCAGTTTTTTTTCTGGTGAAGCTATCAACTTCAAATTTACAGGAAATATAGCTCAAAGTGGCTGTTATTGACTGGAACAAACTTTAAGTCAATATCGACATTGAAACTGAAGTTATGAATTTTTTTGGAAGATAAAACATAGAATTTTCAATGAGAGACATATGCAAAAATTCAGTTTTTCTTCTGGTGAAACTATCGACTTCAAATTTACAGGAAATATAGCTCAAAGTGTCTGTTATTGACTGGAACAAACTGTAAGTGAATATCGACATTGAAACTGAAGTTATGAATTTTTTTGGAAGATGAAACATAGAATTTTCAATGAGAGACATATGCAAAAATTCAGATTTTTTTCTGATGAAACTCTCAACTTCAAATTTACAGGAAATATAGCTCAAAGTGTCTGTTATTGACTGGAACAAACTTTAAGTCAATATCGACATTGAAACTGAAGTTATGAATTTTTTTGGAAGATGAAACATAGAATTTTCAATGGAGAGACATATGCAAAAATTCAGTTTTTTTTCTGGTGAAACTATCGACTTCAAATTTACAGGAAATATAGCTCAAAGTGTCTGTTATTGACTGGAACAAACTTTAAGTCAATATCGACATTGAAACTGAAGTTATGAATTTTTTTGGAAGATAAAACATAGAATTTTCAATGAGAGACATATGCAAAAATTCAGTTTTTTTTCTGGTGAAGCTATCAACTTCAAATTTACAGGAAATATAGCTCAAAGTGGCTGTTATTGACTGGAACAAACTTTAAGTCAATATCGACATTGAAACTGAAGTTATGAATTTTTTTGGAAGATAAAACATAGAATTTTCAATGAGAGACATATGCAAAAATTCAGTTTTTTTTTCTGGTGAAGCTATCAACTTCAAATTTACAGGAAATATAGCTCAAAGTGGCTGTTATTGACTGGAACAAACTTTAAGTCAATATCGACATTGAAACTGAAGTTATGAATTTTTTTGGAAGATAAAACATAGAATTTTCAATGAGAGACATATGCAAAAATTCAGTTTTTCTTCTGGTGAAACTATCGACTTCAAATTTACAGGAAATATAGCTCAAAGTGTCTGTTATTGACTGGAACAAACTGTAAGTGAATATCGACATTGAAACTGAAGTTATGAATTTTTTTGGAAGATGAAACATAGAATTTTCAATGAGAGACATATGCAAAAATTCAGATTTTTTTCTGATGAAACTCTCAACTTCAAATTTACAGGAAATATAGCTCAAAGTGTCTGTTATTGACTGGAACAAACTTTAAGTCAATATCGACATTGAAACTGAAGTTATGAATTTTTTTGGAAGATAAAACATAGAATTTTCAATGAGAGACATATGCAAAAATTCAGTTTTTTTTCTGGTGAAGCTATCAACTTCAAATTTACAGGAAATATAGCTCAAAGTGGCTGTTATTGACTGGAACAAACTTTAAGTCAATATCGACATTGAAACTGAAGTTATGAATTTTTTTGGAAGATAAAACATAGAATTTTCAATGAGAGACATATGCAAAAATTCAGTTTTTTTTCTGGTGAAGCTATCAACTTCAAATTTACAGGAAATATAGCTCAAAGTGGCTGTTATTGACTGGAACAAACTTTAAGTCAATATCGACATTGAAACTGAAGTTATGAATTTTTTTGGAAGATAAAACATAGAATTTTCAATGAGAGACATATGCAAAAATTCAGTTTTTTTTCTGGTGAAACTATCGACTTCAAATTTACAGGAAATATAGCTCAAAGTGTCTGTTATTGACTGGAACAAACTGTAAGTGAATATCGACATTGAAACTGAAGTTATGAATTTTTTTGGAAGATGAAACATAGAATTTTCAATGAGAGACATATGCAAAAATTCAGATTTTTTTCTGATGAAACTCTCAACTTCAAATTTACAGGAAATATAGCTCAAAGTGTCTGTTATTGACTGGAACAAACTTTAAGTCAATATCGACATTGAAACTGAAGTTATGAATTTTTTTTGGAAGATGAAACATAGAATTTTCAATGGAGAGGCATATGCAAAAATTCAGTTTTTTTTCTGGTGAAACTATCAACTTCAAATTTACAGGAAATATAGCTCAAAGTGTCTGTTATTGACTGGAACAAACTTTAAGTCAATATCGACATTGAAACTGAAGTTATGAATTTTTTTGGAAGATGAAACATAGAATTTTCAATGAGAGACATATGCAAAAATTCAGATTTTTTCAGGTGTAACTATCGACTTCAAATTTACAGGAAATATAGCTCAAAGTGTCTGTTATTGACTGGAACAAACTGTAAGTGAATATTGACATTGAAACTGAAGTTATGAATTTTTTTGGAAGATGAAACATAGAATTTTCAATGAGAGACATATGCAAAAATTCAGTTTTTTTTCTGGTGAAACTATCGACTTCAAATTTACAGGAAATATAGCTCAAAGTGTCTGTTATTGACTGGAACAAACTGTAAGTGAATATCGACATTGAAACTGAAGTTATGAATTTTTTTGGAAGATGAAACATAGAATTTTCAATGAGAGACATATGCAAAAATTCAGATTTTGTTCTGGTGAAACTCTCAACTTCAAATTTACAGGAAATATAGCTCAAAGTGTCTGTTATTGACTGGAACAAACTGTAAGTGAATATCGACATTGAAACTGAAGTTATGAATTTTTTTGGAAGATGAAACATAGAATTTTCAATGAGAGACATATGCAAAAATTCAGATTTTGTTCTGGTGAAACTCTCAACTTCAAATTTACAGGAAATATAGCTCAAAGTGTCTGTTATTGACTGGAACAAACTGTAAGTGAATATCGACATTGAAACTGAAGTTATGAATTTTTTTGTCAGATGAAACATAGAATTTTCAATGAGAGACATACGCAAAAATTCAGATTTTTCCTGGTAAAACTATCGACTTCAAATTTACAGCAAATATATCGGGTCTTCAAAAAAAAAAAACCAATCGAAGATTGCTTTGATTACGAAAACGTACGTCGCATTACTGTTTCGTTATTGGTCAGAATTTTTGACATGACATTTTGACATTAAAGTTCATTGAAAAATTAAAGAAAAATATTGCTAAGACATACGTTTAAAAAACCATAGCAATCTTTGATTGTTTTTTTTTTTGAAGACCCGATAGCTCAAAGTGTCTGTTATCGACTGGAACAAACTGTAATTCAATGTTGGTATAAGGAACTATGAAAAGATAAAACTATTTGAGATTTAGGCTTGGCTTATTTAGGTATCTTAAGATAAACTTGTTGGTAACTTAGCTAACTATCTCTGCAAGATAAATTTACCCCTTCTATTATTAATCGATTCAGATTGCATCCCTGCCTGACACTCCTGACAGCTTATCAGAAGATATATAAACTGCTTGATAAACTGGCCCTTATAGAAGTGTTCAATAGTTGGTTTCGAGGTTTGTTTGTAGGCAAAAGAAAAGCATAACTAAATGGAATCTTGGGACTGAATTTTTTGTTTCTCTTGATGAATTTATATTACTTTCCTCCTACAAAATCTTTAAATAATTCCTCAATAATTGAGGTCTAGAAAAAAATAATTACAAATGTGAGAAGATAATTATTATCAATATGGTTCTTTAACCTTTTAACCCATATAAGAGATAAGTTGGACCACCTTTTATTAGGACAAAATATGGAATTTTGTAGTTAATATTGAAATTAAAACAGGTTTTTATTTAAATTGAAACATCTACTTAACACGATTTTATCCCATTTCTATTCCTACCTTGATAAATGTTTCAATAGTTGATTTTTAATGATGGAAACCATTTTAATATGTTATTAACTTTTCACTGTTAGAATTATTGAATCTTATTTGCACTAAAATGAGTTGATAAACTAAAAATCACTTAGGTTTTTCCATTTTTCTAGGTGGTTTTCACGAAAAAAACAATAC